AATATTGAAAGGTTCTAAGGGGCCGAATACTTTCGCAAGGCACTGTATATCCCTGCCCTCGCACCACATACTGCTTAAGCAAATGTCGCTGTGGAGGCATGTGGCCAGGTGCCGACTTTCACACACGGCAGAAAAAGGGATTCTGAGACTCGGAGAGCACCTGTACTTAAAACATGGGCATGATAAGACTAAGCATGATTACATTAGGCAGAAAATGAGAGAAGTCGGTAGGTTAATTAACGAAGCAAAAACCGCAGGGAAACTGAAAACAATTAAGGATTTCTTTATTCCTTCCAACTTTAACCATGTGATTGATGCAGTCAGGTCTGTGGCTGGATATGACGAGGAAACAAATCTATACAAGACTACATCCTTGGCCCTCAAACTCGGCCATAGCCTCAGAAAGCTAGCAGATATTCTTGAATGTGACTCAAAAATGGAGCATTGTGTTGATGAACTGTTAATGAAAAACCTCCAACGAAGCCGGCTGCTTTTTGAGAAGAGGTGGGACGTCTGTGTTTCTTCTGCTGCCCTACAGACCCTCCGGCAAGCCAAGTGGAACACTCCGGACCTGCTCCCTCTGACTGAGGACGTTAGAGCCATGCATGCACATATCGAGGTATGTCGACCTGAATATGTGCAAACCCTAATAAGTGAGCCAACGTCTAAGCATTGGTCTAAACTGGCAGTTTTGACTCTTTGTGAGGTCATTATTTTCAATCGAAGAAGGGAAGGTGAGGTTTCAAAGATGCCACTGACGGCGTTTACCTTAAGAAGTAAGACTGGGATCCATTCTGACGTTGCTTTGGGACTGTCCGAAATTGAGAAAAAACTGTGTCAGCATTATCAACAAATTGAAATTAAAGGGAAAAGAAGCCGGAAAGTGCCGGTTCTGTTTACTCCTGAAATGATTGCTTGGATGGAGGTGCTGTTGAAGAACAGAAGGGCGTGTTCTATCTCTAACCATAACCCATACTTCTTCTCCCGGCCGGGCGCAGATACTCACATCAGGGGATCAGACTGGATCAGTGCATCCAGAGATGTTATCCTCAACCAGACTCAGAAAGCACATAGCTACTATGTCTACAGTTCTTAATATGAAAGAGAATTAAATGGACATACTAGCCAACTTCCTCGGCCATGACATTTGCATCCACAGACAATATTACAGATAAATTACACTTTTTTTTTTTGTTCTGTGCTACAGTGAGAGCAGTAGAGATCCTCTCAGACAGTAACGGGCTAAAAGAAACTTCAACCATTCATCCAGATGCACCCCATGGTAGTGGCAGTGCCCTTTCTGGTAAGTGTACCAGGTGGGGGATTACAGCCAGGCTGCTTGGCCCTAACCCTGGGAGTGTATATTTTTAATATATTTTTATTTTTCTCCCCAGAACGTGTAAGAAAGCCATGGTCTGCATCTGAGGTGAAGGCTGTGGAGAAGACCATGACACCTTTCTTACAGATTGGAAAAGTCCCTGGGCAGTCTCACTGCCTGGCCTGCATTAATGCCTCACCAGATGACCTTAGACATCGGACATGGAGTGGCATTAAATTCTATGTCTAAAATAGAATCACTGCAATTTATTTTTTTATTTCAAAATGTTTGTATTGTTTTAATGCAGTAAAAAAACACAAAGTCACTTTACATTATGTCCAAGGCGTAATAAAATTAGACCACTTTACGATAAACAAGTAAGTAGCGTCCTTCGTTTACAGAAAATAATTATATCAAAAATATATCAATGAAAACAAAGTAACCAGAGCTGTGTTCGCATTGCCGGCAGTAAGTCAGACCTGTTCCCGGTGAATGTTGGCCTCCGACAGGGCTGCCCTTTGTCACCGGTTCTGTTCACTGTAGTCATGGACAGAATATCTAGGCGCAGCCAGGGGCCGGAAGGGGTCCGGTTCGGGGACCACAGGATTTCATCTCTGCTGTTTGCGGACGATGTTGTCCTGTTGGCTCCAACGAACCAGGACCTGCAGCATGCACTGGGGCGGTTTGCAGCAGAGTGTGAAGCGGCTGGGATGAGAATCAGCACCTCCAAATCCGAGGCCATGGTGCTCGACCGGAAAAAGGTGCCTTGCCCTCTTCAGGTGGGTGGAGCAGTCCTTTCTCAAGTGGAGGAGTTCAAGTATCTCGGGGTCTTGTTCACGAGTGAGGGAAGGATGGAGCGTGAGATTGACAGGCGGATCGGTGCAGCGTGCGCAGTGATGCGGTCGCTGTATCGGACCGTCGTGGTGAAGAGGGGGCTGAGCCGAAAGGCAAAGCTCTTGATTTACCGGTCAATCTTCGTTCCCTCCCTCACCTACGGTCATGAGCTTTGGGTAATGACCGAAAGAACGAGATCGCGGATACAAGCGGTCGAAATGAGCTTCCTCCGCAGAGTGGCTGGGCGCTCCCTTAGAGATAGGGTGAGGAGCTCGGTCACACGGGAGGAGCTCGGAGTAGAGCCGCTGCTACTCCACGTCGAAAGGAACCAGTTGAGGTGGCTCGGGCATCTGTTCCGGATGCCTCCTGGAGTTCCTGGAGAACCCTAACCCTGGGGAGGTGTTCCGGGCACGTCCCACTGGGAGGAGGCCCCGGGGAAGACCTAGGACACGCTGGAGGGACTATGTCTCTCAGCTGGCCTGGGAACGCCTTGGGGTCCCCCCGGACGAGCTAGAGGAAGTGTGTGTGGATAGGGAAGTCTGGGCGTCTCTGCTTAGACTGCTGCCCCCGCGACCCGGCAACGGATGAAGCGGAGGAAACGGACGGACGGACAAAGTAACCATATACACAAACAAAAAATAACCGTGAAAAACACTAAATAATAATTAGAACAAATATACATTAAAATAAAATAAAATAAAATACATTAAAATAAAATAAAAATAAAACAATAAGGGCTAGCTTTCTATTCCTCTAAGGAATTTCCATCAAATACATCCTTATAATATTGCAAGAAGGGTTCCCACACGACTTGAAACTTCTGGTTCTGAACAGAACATCTAACATTTTCAAGCCGGAGAAAAGACATTGTATCACTGACCCAACGTGAATGTTTTGGAGGTACGGATGCCTTCCAGTTCGTCAGTATTAACCGGCGTGCCAGGAGTGTGGAGAATGCCATCAACCGTGCTTGGGCTTTTGAAACAGTTGTCCTGTGTACCACTCCGAATATTGCGGTGATAGGGTCCGCTTCAATCTTTTTCTTACAAATAATAGTTAATGTATTAAAGATTTCCAACCACAATGCGTGTAAATTCGGGCATGACCAAAACATATGAGCCAGCGAGGCGGGGGCCTGATGACAGCGTGTGCATGCATGTAGGATCTATGTTTGGAAATATTCTTGCCAACCTTGTCCCAGACAAATGCAGACGATGGAATACCTTGAATTGTATCAGTCTATGGCGCACACAGAATGATGACATATATATATGTATTATTTATAGACCTCTGCCAAATTTGGTCTGTTATTACAATGTTTAGGTCCTCCTCCCAGTTGGATTTAAGAGAAAGAAGTGACACAGTGTTAGTGGCTTGGATGAATCTATAGAGCTGCGATACACCACATACACCCCGGAGCCCAAGCCCCAGGCATTCGTCCAAAGGACACATGTCCGGCTTGAGAGGGAATATTGGGAACCTAGTACGCACAAAATCTCGTACTTGCAGGTATCTGAAAAAACTAGATCTCTGTAAATTAAATCGCCTGACTAATAATAATATTGCAGGCCCCACTTTTCAGTTTTTTATTTGTTAAAAAAGTTTAAATTATCCAATAAATTTCGTTCCACTTCACGGTTGTGTTCCACTTGTTGATTGTTGACAAAAAATTAAATTTTTATATCTTTATGTTTGAAGCCTGAAATGTGGCGAAATGTTGAAAGGTTCAAGGGGGCCGAATACTTTCGCAAGGTACTGTATAGATAATCTGGAGGGTTGGGGCTGGTATCAACACATTAACCACATTGATTAGGGGCCAAGGCTTCATCAAATGTAAATGCTAAGAATGTTAACATGTTGGTTTTAAAATAACATGGTAAGCTGTAAAACTAGCATTAAAGCTCGCTTTAACTAAACACTGCCGAAAAAAACGTTTCTAGAGAGGGACAAGAAACATCTTATGAACTCATTTCATGGAATGAATATTCGCAGGCTCGATTGTTAATGTTTGTGAGCAGTACGAAATCACACATACAGTTTATATATTTTTTTACTTAATTACGAAATTCTATGTCTTTTTAGTTTGCATTATTTTAATCATGAATTAATAAAATATTTCTATGCACAAATACCAATAAATATGCACGCTTTTTTTTTTAGACATGCACGTCTTTATTGACAGTAACCTTACCCCATAGAAGACCTCGAGCTTCTTTGTGAGACCTTCAAAGTTTCTCAGTGTGAACAATATCTGTGCATGTGTCAAAAGAGGAAAAACTGTTTTTTGACCCGGTTTTAAAAGAACCACTGAATTAAAAGCAAGATACAAAGAAATCAGGATTAAATCATTTAATACAAACAAATAAAAGCAATAAAAACCTATGCAAAAAATACACAGGGCTAATAATAGAGGTTAATACAAGCTAAAAATCCGCTGCTGCTCAGTCCTTCAGTTCTCCGTTCTCGTGGCCACGGCCTGAGCCTCCAGACCACGGGGCTCTCGCCTCCCCTGTCTTTCCCCCAGCAAAATTAACCTGATAATTCCAACAATGTTTCACCCATTTATAGTTATTTTGCTCTGGTTAAAGTCTGGCTAATCGCTGGTTTACTGTATACCTGGTTGTTGAGTTTTTGAAAAGCGCTATATAAAACCCATGTATAATTACTATCATTATTAAATGTTGTACTGGTTTGGCATTGATTTTCTGTACAATTATGAAATATAAACTGAATTATTATTGGGTTTGATATTGTTAATGCTGTTTTATCCTGTAGAGGCTTTGGGCAGGTCCGGGCAGAGAATAAAGTGAAAGAAATCGATTGTTAAACATCATAGATTGATATAATGTCATGTCTCGTCAGTGACACCTTCAGGTCCATGTTGTTCAGAAGGAGAAAAGCAAAAGTCGCATCTGCGCCTGAGACGTTTCTTAAGTTGTAAACTCCTCTCCACAGACGTCGTGTTGTATTCCTGGGCCTTCAGCTTGTTGTAGTAATCAGAGAAGTTGTTGAACAGGAAAGAGATGGGCATTCCGTTGAGGATGATCCCAAACGAGATGCACCCAAAGGCCACGAAGCGTCCCAGGACAGTGACAGGAACGACGTCCCCATATCCCACAGTGGAAATACTGACCTAAGAGACCGGAGAGAGACCGGAGAGAGAGAGGGATCAGAACAGTCCTGCCACAACACGGACCAGGCTGAATCAACAAAGGACTTCTAACTTTACACTGGCACTTTTAGACATGAAGGTGACACAGTGAGTGAGAAGAGCAACACAGAACATTAGATCGTTCAAAAGTCCATTTATTGTTGTTTTGAAGTAACTGAAACTATGATGTAGACAGTGACATATGAGTCTTTTTGGTTCACGGCTTGTAAAAAACACAAAACATCTCAGAAGATTAGAATATTTTGAAAGTGGACTGTAAGGAATGCTATAATTGCGATAAAAATGACAACATTTGTCACTGTTTGTTCTATACCAATAAACTTTCTTTTGCTTATGTCATATTGGTTTCACATTTAAAGGTGAAATACAGAAAGTTTTAACGGATATTCTAATGTTCCCATGTGTGTATGCTCACATTAATACACACTGTCCCATTTAAATAAAGCAACTTTACAAGAGGATGCCTTCATATTCTAGAATTATATTATATATATATAATATGTACTGTAATTATAGTACACTTCAGTTAGAGGTAGGCTTTCCCTTGGATAATCCTGATTCAGTCCAGAACATAAACCTGTTGGACCTGGCACAGGTTTAGACAGCTGGTAGCTGACCTCTTTTTACCAGGGAACACTTGGGTCCACTCTGGTCCTCCAAAGGTCTGCAGAGGAGCAGACGATCCCACTCGGGTCACTGCTGTGGCACACTAACCTTGGCCTGACGGGGCTTTTCAAACATTATGAACATTAACACCACAAATGTATAAAGGTGGTTAGAAATAAGAGAATAGTTTCTTTGTGGTTTTCAAATTAGCAGCCGTTCCAGAGAATGAGTGAATGAAGAAATGTTGGAGCAATTGAGGTATATACCAAGACTGATTGGCAAAGACTGAGACTTGTTTTCCAGAATCTATGTGAAAAACACACCTCCTTTAAAGCTTTCCTCTAAAAACAGTTAAGTCAACAAGGAATGTATCACAAGGAGGGGTTGGCTAGTACTTCTGCATTTAAAATAAGACTAAAATCTACTTCAATTGGTAAATGTTTCTTTACTCAAACCTTTTTTGCCTCTTTCCTGTTTAAGGTAGACCATTGATACTTGCTGCGTGAGTGGTTTTCTGTGAGCTTGGCTGCCTTTGTCTTCTAATCGTCTACTATTACTTTACATGACATTGTCAAATGAAGGATTGGTGTTGCATTTAAAGCACATGTAACTGATGTATTCATAGAGTAGAGTTATGCCTGTAACCCCTATAGCCCCTACAATACCCCTGCATAAGGCTTGATACTTACAGCAGCCCACCACCAAGCGTAGGGGATGCTGGTGATGGGAGAGTCCTCAGTCTCCCTCTCGACCGAGTGCAGGAGGGCGGAGAACGTGAAAATGCCAAGTCCGATGAACAAGAAAATGCAGCACACTTCCTCTGAGCATTGCTTCAGCGTGAACCCAAACGCTCTCATTCCCGTGGAGTGCCGAGCCAGCTTCAGGATGCGGAAAACACGGAGCAGTTTGACCCCCTTCAGCACCTGGTTGAACTTGCCAACTTGAGCCATGGCTTTGAAATCCTCTTTTGTGCCAAAGTATCCCAGACCCGACTCAAAAATGAGCTGCACGAGAAAAGGCAGGATTGCCAACAGGTCTACGAAGTTCAGGCCGCCTTTTAAAAACGCTTTCAAATCGGGAGTTGTTGATAACCGGAGGAAGTACTCAAACATGAAGAACATAATAGTAATTATTTCCACCCACTCCATGTGTGTTTTACCATTTGTTTTGTGAATCTGGAGCTCTTCAACTGTGTCCAGAGCAATTGCGATGATGGAAATAAGAACACACAGATTGGAGAAGAGGCTGAAGGCCTTGGCCAAAGGGGAAGAGTAAGGATTCTCTGTAAAATTCCACAGCATCTGTCTGGTGTTTCCAAAAACCATGTCTTTAAAATGTTCATTGGAATACGTCATCTGAGTTTCAGCCAAAAGTTCTCTCTCCACCTTGAGTCTTTCCTGGACGTCACCGACCTTTTCCTCAAATAATAACCAACAACACAGCTGCGTATCGGTCAAACTCAGACCCCAGTATTCCACCTCCTCCTCAAAGCTCATTGGACACATTTCTTGGTACACCCACAGAACACCGCTTGTGTAAAAATGGCGGATGTATGGAAATAATGCAGGGTCACGGTCAAAGAAGAATTCGTCCTTATACACGGAGTAGTCATCACAGAGTCTGAACACTTTGTCAGTACTGTCTTTATTAAGAGCCAAGGAGCCGATGCGGGTATTGGGGTATTTTAAAGCACACTGAGTGGGTATATTCCAGACTTTACCCCCAACGTTGAGTGTCATTTGTTGCTTTTCTGCTTTGTCTTGAGTTGTTTCGCCTGTGTCCAGATTGCTTAAAGACTTCCAGGATTTCACAGGTTTGTCTTGACTGGTAACGTCCTGGACCCCACGCGGGAGGCAGGGGATGGTGAACCGACGGGTTGGGTCCAGGCCGGCCGCGTCCATTGTTGCGTAGTGTCACCGTTAATGCAAAGAAAGAAGCAACACAGGAACTACTCCAGGAAGAGCTGGTGACACAGCGAGGCCGGAGGTCCCACAGGAAGTCCTTGAAACCAGTGCTGCTCCTGCACTTCTCTGAAGAGAGACGCAGATATGCAAAGTGTTTCCTCTGAGTCCAGCAGACCGACTGTATGTTGGTCCATTGCCAAGTTACTTAAGTACTTTAGTTGTGTTGGATTAGTGATTCAAGGATTAAGGCCTTCATAGAGTCTGACTTTATGTGGCTGTTACTGTTGTACATTGGAAGCTACCAACAGTGGAAATCAAACCAGTTTTACTAATTGAAAATACTGTTAATTTCCAGATATTATTTACAAACACTGCAGAATTTAGAGAGGTATTTAGACAGTAATGTGATTTCTGGCATTTGTGTTTGTGAATAAACACAATGTATTCATGTATTTTTGCAGATGGAGGATCATTAAAGTAAATTTTTTTACACACTGTCTGTACTGTGCCTCTTTCTATGTTTATTATACTTGATACGAATCAGAAGTTGGATTTCAGACTGTATGTAACCTGGTCACATGGAAGAGTACGATGTAAAGCCACAGCCAACATTTATGAATGTACTTCATATATGTTCAGTAATAATAAATAATAATATTCATTATTACAGGAAACAGGAAGCTGAAACTCATGACTCGGTCCATCTGCAGTCTCACGTCTGATACTTTCAAACATAGAAGAGACCAGAGAGAGAGAGCACAGAGAGAGACCATGCAGAGAGAGAGCACAGAGAGGGAGAGCACAGAGAGAGAGACCATGCAGAGAGAGACCAAAGAGACCAGAGAGACCAGAGAGACCAGAAACCAGAGAGAGGCCAGAGAGAGACCATCTTCAGTCTCATGTCAGACACTTTCAAATGTAGAAAGTGGAAATGAAAACGTCTGAAGTCAATCACATCAGACAGAATGTTGTTGTTTACTATTACACCAATAGCATCTGTTTAACAAAGTAAAAAGATCCAAATAAAGTTTATTTCTAGCTTTGTCGGCTGCAGATGGTTTTTAAATGTGGTTTGATGCGGTGACATTTTTTTTTTTAGTCTGAATAAACCAAAACAAGTTTCACCTAATAAATAAAATAATTTATTGAAAAATACAACGTTCCAGTGAATTCACACAGCAGAGATCTCCATTCTCCAAAACAAACAATCAAAACCCAAAAGGCTTCAAAACATCCACTCCAGGTAAGAAAACATTGTTTGATCCATTTAGCCACGGCCAGGTTAAAAAAAATTACATTTACAGTTCAAACTTTCAGTAGTTCGTCTTCTGTCTCCGTCTTTACAGTCATTCAAAATAAACAACATAATTTCCAATGTTCTCTTCCTAAAATGACTTGTGCGCTAAAACTTCCATTAGTTTAGAATTGTACATTATTTCAGGAAGCACAGAAATACTGGACCTCAATCTCTGAGTCCAGAACAAAAGAACCTCATATTCCACTCAAGGAAGAAAAGACAAAGGCACTGTCTCCCATTGGCTCTCCCACTGTTGTTTCTTTGTCAATAAAAACATAAAAAAACAAATGCACTGGAGGAGAACACCTGGCTTAGATGGTGCTCAAGGCCAAGTGGTGAGGAGGAGGAGGAGGAGTGAGAGGGAGCAGTGAGGAGGAGGAGTGAGGAGGAGAATTCAGAAGAATAATTAAAGAGGAGCAGTCAGCCGGAGCAGTGAGGAGGAGCAGTGAGGAGGAGGAGGGAGGAGGAGCAGTGAGGAAGAGAAGTGGTGAGGAGGAGCAGTGAGGAGGAGGAGTGAGGAGGAGAATTCAGAAGAATAATTAAAGAGGAGCAGCCAGCAGGAGCAGTGAGGGTGGAGTGGGTGAGATGGTCTGGCCGTCTGTGCTGCTCCTCCAGTCCGCCTCTAGGTGGAGCCTGACCGGAGTTTCCTGGAGAGAAAAGTCCACAGCTCAGACTCTGCTCAGACCTGGTCCTGGTCCTGGTCCTGGTCCTGGTCCTGGACTAACCACAGATTGTTCAATAAAAATCCTATCACTCACTGAAGAATAAAGTAAATTAACAAGAACTTAAACTATAATTATTCTTCATTATATTTCATGGAACTGGTCTGAGATTCTGCTTCACTTTTAGAGAGAGCAGAGAGAGAGACCAGAGAGAGACCAGACAGAGACCAGAGAGACCAGAGAGAGACCAGAGAGAGACCAGAGAGAGACCAGAGAGAGGCCAGAGAGAGACCAGGGAGAGACCAGAGAGAGACCAGAGAGAGACCAGAGAAAGACCAGAGAGAGACCAGAGAGAGAGCAGAGAGAGAGACCAGAGAGAGACCAGGGAGAGGCCAGAGAGAGACCAGAGAGAGACCAGAGAGAGACCGGAGAGAGACCAGAGAGAGACCAGAGAGAGACCAGAGAGAGACCAGAGAGAGACCAGAGAGAGACCAGAGAGAGACCAGAGAGAGACCAGAGAGAGACCAAAGAGATCAGAGAGAGACCAGAGAGAGACTAGAGAGAGACCAGAGAGAGACCAAAGAGATCAGAGAGAGAGACCAGAGAGAGACAAGGGATAGGTGCTCTTCTCTGAAAGAGGTCTGCGATCTGTCTTTTTTGGAGGTTTCTTTATAAATCCAGACTTTTAAACGGAGCTCTTAGAATAATTAATGACTCTTCTGGCTCTTTGAAAAGCCATGTTCCAGCTTCTTCCCTCTGACATCTTACTTTAGTGGGGCATAAGTTGAGGTCGATGTTAGCGTCCCTGAGCAGTGGGTCTCTGGATTCTTTTAGCGTGAGGCTGTGGTCATTGGAGGTAAGCGGCCGGAGCTCCTCTCTGCACCACCACAGACACAGGCCCAGCAGGAGCACGATAAGAACCACTGGAAACACACAAGTTCAAATAAAGTGGGTTTATTATTACACCAACCGGTTTTTACGAACATCGGTTTGTTGTGAAAATACAGTTTGAGGCCTCACGACAGAATCCATAGTTTTCTGAAGTTACATTTTTTATATGATTTCCTTCAGATGACATGAAAAAAAAAGGATGCAAAAAAGGATTAAAAAAAAGACAAAACAAAAGTGAATGGACACAACCAAAAGACAAGCACACACACACACACTTGGTCCAAAACTGGTTCTTGGTTCAAAGCTACGTTCCAGATGGTGTTGATGTTGAGGGGAGTACATATTTTTGGACCAGTCTAGTTTAGCCGCTGTGGACTTCAGAATGTACTCGTTAAATGAATTGGGCTAGTGCAGCTAACACATGCGCAAATGAGTTTTTTCACATTGTCCTGCCCCGCGGCCATTTTGAAAATGCCACAGAAGGCAAAAGTATTGGCACATTAGTTTGAACGGCAGAGATAGGCGTGACTACTAGGCGTGATATTTACTGTTTATGGAGCAGACAGATCTTTGTATCATTGCAGGACGGAGGCAAATGACAAAATAAGATAAGATAAACCTTTATTAGTCTCACAGTGGAGAAATTTCAGTGTAATCGTTGCGCACATTACAGCAGAGAAAGGAAATAAGAGCACTCAGATTGCACACATCAAATAAGTCTATTATTTAAGATAATACACAATAGAATAAAATGAGATAAACTCTGGGCTATAATTGCACTTGGTTCGGAAGTATTTACAGAATAAACATCAGAAATAATAGTCAACAGGTAAAGTGACTTGAATGAGAGAATTATCAGATGGATATGTAACAATACGGTAAAATATCAACAAATATTATTACTACTGCATTAGTAGATAATGCAGTAGTAATACTAAAGTAGTAATAATGTCACAGGTAATGTCACAGTGTAAAGATAATACTAGTGAATTATCAGTGACACCAGTTACACACATTGTGCAGCCTGACAGCAGCAGGAAGGAAAGACCTACGGAAACAGCGAGGGTGAATTAGTCTGTCCCTGAAGCTGCTCTCCAGGGCAGAGTGTGTCCTGCAGGGGGTGACAGTCATGGTCCAGCATAGATGTCCCCCACCTGCTGCACTGTGTCCAGGGAACAGCCCATTGAGCTGGACTTCCTGATGACCTTGTCCAGCTTCTTCCTGTCCCTCTCTGTGATAGCAGTAGTAATTTAGTAGTAATTTATTTATATACCGCCTTTTCACTGCAGATCTGAGTCTCAAAGCGGTTCGCAACTGTTATTTTTAGGCGTTTGTCTCTCGCCAGTACAGGAGGCGCATGCCAGACCTATTGTACATATTTTTTAGTGGTAGGGGAAACCGGAGTACCCGGAGGAAACCTACGCAGACACGGGGACAACATGCAAACTCCACTCAGAAAGGCCCTGGTCCGGCCGGGATTTGAACCCAGGACCTTGTTGCTGAGAGGCGAGAGTGCTAACCACTCAGATTCAGATTCAGATTCATTTATTTGCCATTTGCAGTAAAACCACATTGGAAAAACTGTGCAAGACTACCCCGGTGTGCGCCAGACACACACGACACGACACGAGACGACACACACCAGAGCTCTTGCCACGGCGCCATCTTTTCCGGCGCCATGCGACAAACAGTAGAATAAACAGCAGAGAGCAATAACATACAGGTTACAACAGACAGTTGGATAGAAAACATTGTGCTTTGTATAAACCACGGATTTTTTTTCGGGATGGCACTCAGCCACCGTGCCGCCCGTAATGCTGCTGCTCCAGCAGACCACACCATACAAGATGGCTGATGCCACCACAGAGTCATAGAAGGTCAGGAGTGGCCACTCCAAAAGACCTAAGCCTCCTCAGCAGGTAGAGGCGGCTCTGGCCCTTCTTGAAGAGGATGTCTGTGTTATGAATCCAGTCCAGTTTGTGGTTCAGATGAACACCCAGGTACTTGTAAGAGTCCACTCTCTCAATGCCCTTTCCCTGGATGTTCACTGGGGCTGGAGCGGCAGAGTGATGTCTGCGGAAATCCACCACCATCTCCTTGGTCTTCCCCGCGTTGAGGAGGAGGTGGTTCCGCTGACACCAGTCCACAAAGTCCTGTATGACTCCTCTGTACTCTGTCATCGTGAAGAGGTGAAGAGGAACAGTGCGAGGACAGTCCCCTGGGGGGGAAACTGCAGGCCAGGACCTCAGACACAAAGTCCCTGGTTCTCACAAACTGGGGTCTGTCTGTGAGGTAGTCCAGGATCCACTCAGACAGGTCGTAGTCCACTCCAGCTGTCTCTAGCTTGTCCCTGAGAAGCCTCGGCTGGATGGTGTTGAAGGCGCTGGAGAAGTCGAAGAACAGAATCCTCACAGTGGAGCCGGGTTTCTCCAGGTGGGACAGCGAGCAATGGAGGAGGGAGATGATGGCCTCCTCAACTCCGAAGCCCGGCCGGTACGCGAACTGCAGCGGGTCCATCGCTGGGCTCGGAGTGGAGCGGAGATGTCCCAGGACCAGTCTCTCCAGTGTCATCATGCAGTGTGATGTGAGAGCCACTGGCCTGAAGTCTCTGGTCCGTGGTTTCTTAGGCACTGGTACCACACAGGAGGTCCTCCAGAGCTGTGGTACCGACCTCAGGCGGAGGCTCATGTTGAAGACGTGCCCCATAACACCGCACAGTTCGTCTGCACAGGAGCTGAGGAGCCTGGCGCTCACATGTTTACCTCTGATGACAAATTCTGTACCTTACCTTATCTTCAGCTCATGGATGGCTCCACATTTAAAACAGTTTGTAGGGGAAACATTTATTTTATTTCTTATACAACTTGTGAATTGCTGATTTTTGTATTTTTTTTAATGTTAGCTTTCAATATTAGCCCTTGGGGTGCAGTTGTGCTTGAAGAGAACTCTAGAGCAGGCATCTAAAACTCAGGCTCGTGGGCCAAATCCAGCTCACAAGACCATTTTTAGTGGTCCCTAAAATTATTTTCAATGATTATTATTAACTTGCAGCATTGATGGTTATGGATGACCAAGGCATCATCTATTTTCAATCACAACCAATCATTAGTCATTATCAAAACCAGTTTCGGTTCAATTTAAACACATTTTTAGGAAAATCAACCACAAAATAATAGTGAAACTCAGTCACATTCAAGTAATGTCGAAATCCCTTCATAATGTAATGAACTCCCTTCTATTCTCCCTAACCAAAGCTCTAGAGAGCAAACATTAGATAATTAAACTTCTCTTGGCGTTGTGGGACCATTATGGTTTAGAATTGTTGATTGTACTTGTCCTGTTTGTTCATCTCCCTTCACCCATGATCCCATGATGCATCACTGTTTCCAGGGTCACTCCCAGTTTGACATGAACAGTTGGAATGTTTGCATGTGTACCATCAAACAAAGGAAGGTCTTGAAAGAAGAAACTATATGTACATGTGTGTATGTGTGCGTACGTGTGTCTTCTGTGTGCGTGTGCGTGCCGTACGTACGTGTGTGTTGGTGGTTCTGTGTGCGTGCGTGTGTGTCTGTGTGTGCGTGTGTTGTGTGCGGGTCTTCTGGACCATGAACCACTTTTGGACCAAGAGCAACTTTTGGGCCATTCTGTAAAGATGATTTCAAGAGGAAATAAGACACTTTTTTTGGAGCCGTACACTATATCCACAAGTAGAATTATAATGTAGTTTGAATAATGTTACTAATATTCACATAACTAGGGTTTTTAAAAGCAGAAATTTCACTTAAATATCACTCATTGTTGAAAGTAATCAGAAGTTTCGCATATATTAAAGCTCATTTGATCCATGTGTTAAGATGCGTTCAGACCAAACGCGTCTTGAGCGTCCAAAGCGTCGGGTTTACATTGACATAACATGGGGGACGCGCGTCTAGGAGCGTCAAGAGATCACGCGGCGCGTCACGCGCCTCCCGAGCAGCGCGTCTTCGAGCGTTTCGCGCGTTTTGAGATTTCGAGCGTCTTGAGGCGCGTGAAGCGCGTCACGCGCGGCTGACGCTTGAGTTGAACAATGTTGAACTTTTCGGGAGAAGACGCGAGCGTCTACCAATCAGGAGCCTCCTCCAACAGTTACGTGGTAACGCATTTCAAGGCAGGACCGAGGGGGACGACAACACAACAGCTATGAGGACAAGCTGTGCTGTTAGCCCATGAGCCCTGCAGACTATAACCACCGTGACATGGAGGAGGGTCAGTGAGGAGGTTGGTGTCTCTGGTAAGTTATTTAAACTTTTCACAATTGCTAATCCTTCCTTGCACAAAATCTGTAATGTCACAGGGAGAAACAAACCCACAAATTACATATTAAAGCTACACAGAGGAAACAGTCCATGGAGACAGCAGCTGTAGTATTCTAACATGTAGTATTCTAACATGTAGTAAACACTGTTATCTGTATTCATATAAAATAGATTGTGTATATAATTTATAATCCCATACTAAGACTGGGAATATTGTATAATTATTAAAATTTACTGTATATATATGGCTTATTATGAAGCACTTTTCATACAATAGTCTGATAAATATAATGATGAAACAAGAGCACATTATACAGATGTTTATTTTGTCATTGATAAAGGACATTTGCAGATGACAGTCTCACTTACAAAAAGTTTAAAGTGGTTAGCCACACTCCTAAGTTTTATTTGTGTGTATATTTCCAATATATTATTCTTCTGTTACCCCTCAGTGTCTGTTTCTCCTGCTGTTTACCTCTAATATTAAATACAGGAAGGATTTCTGTATTTTATTTTGAGGTGTCCATGTTTTAACATGATGTTTGTGTTCTTTTTCAGAGACTTTTGGTGAAATGGAACTCAGACTTCCTCTGACAGCAACAAAATCACACGGCATCGTTTCTCCAGCTTCACCTCCATCACCTCCTGCTTCACTGCGGACTAACAATATGAACTACAACAAACATATTTTCATGTTTATTTAATCATCAGTCTTGAATAGTTAGAACAGTGGG